AAGCATGAGAACGTATTATGTGAATTGTTGTATTTGAAGCCTGTCAAGGAGTTTTATGAAGTCTGCTTTTGTTCATATGGTTATGTTAACCCTTTTGTATAAAAATTCATTTAGCAAAAAGTTTGTAGTAGATTTCAGGAAATTGCATTGTTTTGGTGAATAGGCCCGATTGTATTATCAATATGATTTGATATTATATCAAATCATATTGATAATACAATAATAGGTGAAGGATCTTGTTAGAAGGAAGTTATACACTACAAGAAAAAGCTTCATTAGTGACTACTTATATTTTGGTCATTAACTATGATGTTAGTGACGATGAGAAAGGTCGTCACTAATTTGTGCTTACTAATATGAACTTTAGTAACAAAAAGTAAATTAGGTCGCTAAGTGGCCACTAATTTTCATGCAAAAAAAAAAAGATTTTTCATATCAATTTATTTTAATGACCGACTTTATGACGACCATATTTTTCGTCATTGATGTTATAAATTCATGCGTTTAGTGACCAAAATGATGGTTACTAAGTTGAACGGATTAGTGACCAAAAATTGATAGGCATTAAGTTGAAAGTTTTAGTGACAAAAAATAAAGTAGTCACAAATTTGTAATTTTTTGTGACCAAAATAGTGGTCACTAACTAGTTGGTTCTTTTTAGGAATTTTAGTGACAAAAAATGGTCGTCATTAAGTTGGAAGTGACAAAAATATAAGTAGTCACATATTTGAAATGGTTAATGAACCAAAAATAATGGTCACTAACTAAATAGTATTATTTAGGGATATTAGTGATAGAAAATGGTGGTCATTGATGTAGATGGTATTCCATACATAGATTGTTGTAGTGAGTTAGGAGGGTTAGTAATCAAAAGAATAGTAGTCACTAAGTTGGAAATGTTATTGACTAAAAAATGATGGTCACTAAGATAAATGAATTAGAGACAAAATAAATAGTTGTCACTAAATAGTATTAAAATAATTGGTGAATTATAAATTGAAAATAATAGTGATAAAAAAATTTGGTCACTAAACTTAAAAATGTTGATGACCTAGAAATAGTGGTCATTAAATCCATAATTTTGAGAAAATTTTAAGATAAGATATTGTATTATTATTTTATTATGAAAATAAAGTCTAACTAAAAATATAAAATAATATTTAAAAAATAAAAATATTTCATTTCATTTCATTTTAAGAAATAAAAAAAGAAAAAAACCATTTTAAGAAAAAAGTAAATCAGAAAAAAGAGAAGTAGTAATCGGAGTTGCTCTCCCTCTTGTTATTCTAGTGAGAATCGGTGCCCTAAAATATCCGGTCGCCTCCTCTGTCCTGCTCGTCGTCGTCTCCATTTCTAGTCGTTGCTAATAAAGTAAGTACCCTTTTATCATGTAATTACTATAGTGTACACAAAGTTCAACTCGAGGAAGAAAACTGTAACAATGTAAATGAAATTCGTGGCAAACTATTTGCTTCATGGCTTCGGCAACGTGTAAGACCAATGTTTGATATTTGTTTTTAAAAATTTATATATAGAGTACTCGTGCAAGAGCGCTTACAGCAGCTCGTAGCTATTATATGCATGGCTTTGTTACCCAGTCATTCATCCTGAGCAATCTCTTCCGGTTCCGCAGTGTCCAGATCTGGCATCTTTGCCTCTTCTTGTTCAGGGTCCCTTTAGAACCGCAAAACAAAACGGTTTTAAACCTGGTTAACCAATTATATGTTCTTCCCATTAAGGTGAATTCTTGTCCACAATCATTTGCATCTGAAATTCGTATATTGTCCACAATCAAGAGTCTTAAGTGAAGCGAGAAAGTGACGCTTGAATAAGGGGTAACTTATTTTCGAAGTTGATGAATGTGCTGGACGTATAATTGGGGAAGATAGCCAGTGATTTATCACCAAAGGCGGGTGTCTCGTGTGTGACCATGCAAAATTTGATGAACCACTTGGAGAAATCAATTAGCATTGTTGAAGGCGAATATCATCAATAAATGCATGGTAAGGTGTTATTATTATTTGATTTTTCAATTAAGAGTTTATTTGACATTCTCCTCCTAGTTCCAAACTCTTTTTAACAACTCATTCCATTGATTTACACACTCTCCTTCTCTTTGTTATAATCTATATGAACCTTTACAACATGTGGATAAAAAAAATAAGTGCTTTTTTGGGTAAATGGATTACAGGAAAATTCGAATTATGATCCAAATTGTCGGCTGATGGTATGTGCTATACATATACAGTTGGCCAACCAACATAAGAACAAACTGTTTAGGTTGCATGTTCATTACAAAAAGTTTGCTACCAAAGAGGATGCAACCAAACATCCTCCAAATGGTATAATCAATACTGATTGGGTAAAACTATGTGAAAAAGTTTCAAGCAAGGAGCTTCAGGTTTTTACTTGTCACTTGTTTTCTAACATTTGTAATATTTGTTAATAAGAAATGTTTACAAATTATAGTTATTTCCAATTATCTAACTTTGTAGAAGATAAGCACTAAAAATAAGAAAAACTGATCAATGAATGAAATTCCACCCTCTGTTGGTACAATTTCCATTGGAAGGATTATTGATAAGGTGCGTAGCTTATTAGGGCTTAAATCTTTCATTTATGTTCGCATATTTATTTTATTTGTATTATGATTTTCATATGAAACAGAGAAGGAGATAAGGAGAACAAGTATCAAGTATCAGCAATTGAACAATACAAAATTGGCCATTTTTCAGCAAAGAAAAACAAGATGGTCAATGAGAAGGCTGATAAAATTTGGGTACTTTTACTACTATTCACTTTGCATTTAAATATGATTTCATTTATCCCATAAAAATGAAGTGCTCATGGATATAAGCCATTGATCTCAACATGGCACCTAAAGTGTCCCTAGACTTCTGAAACTTCACATCGGATTCTCTTGAACTAGTATCAGAATCTTGAAAAGGGTTTCCTTGAAAACTTCTACTGTTTTATAATAGTTTTTGCATATTTTGGTGAATGATGTGGTGCTTTGTTGAGTTTTTATGCATGCTTCACTTAATTGAAGGGTTAAGTTTGCTCTATGTGTTTTAAATTTCTTGTTAGGGTTTTCAATTTGAGTGTTGTGATTTTTGTCTGTGTCTAGAAATTATGTATGAGTTCTTGATGGATTTCTCAATTTTGATGGTTTTGATTTGTGGGTCTATCACTTTATCTGTATGTTTTTTTCAAACTGCTTTTTTCCTAATATGTTTATAATCATATGCAATATGATTTAGGCATATATGCTTGGCATGCTTGATTTCATGATTGCATTTTATTTATTGCTATGATATTTATGTTTTGTTTTGATGTGCAAAATGAATTACCAAGTGAGGAAGCTGCTTCTTCGTGTTCACCGGTAGAAATTTGTTTGAAAAAACTGCATCGTATTCCTGGATATATAAATGGACATGCCGCTTTGACAAAACATGTTTTAGCCACAGAAAGTCTGCAACTGGAGTTGGAATTGGAGAAGAACAAATCAAAGGCATTAGAGGAAGAAGTTCGGAAAATTTAAGAAGAACAAGTGAAATTTCAAGAAAGAATTAAAGAAGAACAAGTAAAATTTCAAGAGGAGCAGAATCAAATGAAGGAAAAACTGAACCTCATTATGACACAAATGTCAAAATTATCTGCATTAGGATCTCAAAACTAAGAATTCTATGTTTTATTTTGGTTGGTCATTAAATGGTTTTAGTGATAATCAATTGACATGACAATGAAATACTTGCTTTTAGTTTGGATAAAAAATTATAAGTTTTGCAAATGAATTAATATTTTGGGTTTAGATCTTTACAGATCAGCAGATTTTAATTTTATTTAATCACAACAATAGTAAAAATTAACAATTTTTTTTTCATGTTTTCTTAATTAGTGACCACTTCTTTTTGGCCATAAATGGAAGTTAACGGATGTTAACAGAGCCGTTATCTTGAATAATTAGTGACGACTTTTAACTATTTAGTGACTAAATTAGTTGTCACAAAATATAATGATCAGTTTAATTTTTATTTTTTGAATTTGGTCACTATTGGAAATTAGTGACAGACATTTAGTGACGAAAAGTGACCATCGAAATTTTGGTCACTAAACGACCTTAGTGACCAATTTTAGGTTGTTAGTGACCAAATTTTTTTTTGTCACTAATTAGGATTTTTCTTGTACTATATAGTGAAAAGTATAAAAAGAGACTTGAACTTTTGATCATTTTTAATCTTATGTCCACTCATGAATTGCATTTTAAAAAGGAATTGATTCCCTGCATCTTGGTACACCTCATTAGTGTTGATATTCAATTAAGATTTATTCATTGATGCAAATCTCTTCTTATACTTCTCACCATAACTTGACTTTTAGGCATAGTGATTTTAAAGCAATTTGTTATTAACGTATTTTTAAGCATACACTAATTGGCTAATCTCCACGTCAATTTTTTCCTTCTAAATTTCCACATGTTAAACTCTTTTCTAAATTTCCATGTAGTTATTTTCTTGCAATCTTCGTTGATTATTATTTATAGTTTATAATATTGATAAGAGATGTTTTTTTGCTACGGTGAAAATTTTAGATCATAGTTTTTCTATAAAGAGAGAGGGGGAAGGATCAAACGAGCAAAAGGTCAAAATATAAAATAACACGAAAAAGATCAAGTCATATGCGATCTTACACTTAAATCACATATGATTACTGAACACGGTAAACATAACGGGTGAGCGGGCAACTTGATAGAATTATAAAACCAAATTAATTATATTATTGAAACACTTGTAAATTTGAATCATAAGCTATCGGTTATTGATGCAATGGAAATTACACATTGAAAAATGCTCAGTATGTTAAGTAGGAAGCATTTTTCTCTTTATTCATAATCATATAACGCTTGCTATTCAAGGATAATTGATGGGTTCGAGCGAGTGCTCAAGATGTAGCATTTTCTTGGCTTAGACATGGTTCCAATCCTAAGAGAGATTCTTGTTTTAAGCAGGAGGTGGTTGTCCGCCTTCAGCTGGTGGAGGTTGTCCGCCTTCAGCTGGTGGAGGTTGCCCGCCTTCTGGAGGTGGCTGACCACCTTCTGGAGGAGGCTGACCGCCTTCAGGAGGAGGTGGTGGACTTCCTGGAGGAGGAGGTGGTGATGGCGGAGTTCCAGGAGGTGTATTCTTAGGAGGACCACAATTGTAGTAGCAAAAACACATTAATTTTGATTCACGTTCGTGACAAGCTCCATGCTTTGCATCCTCCCACTCTATGCATTGTTTGTCACATTTAGTCGTGTCCTGACACTTTCCAAACCAAGTCTTGCTCGGCTTTTCACATATTTTCCCCTTCACGGTCGAGAATTCTGTTCATATAATTAAAAATAGTGTTTAGTTAAAAAAAAAGTTAATCAAGATAAGAACGAACCAACGCCCCTTAATTAGTTTGCCATTAATTAACGTTATTAATTAAACTGTTTTATTGGTTATGTTATAACACTCTTACCGTGTTAAAAATTAACATTTTCTAGACAATCTTTTAGCAATCATTCACACATTAGACTGTTTAACAAGACAAACCAGATCAATTATTCTAATATAACAAGTCTCTTTGGCTTTTTCGCAAGTATAATGATTTATTTGTAACAAAACCAAGTTAATGACCAAAAAACCAACCATTTATCGTAACAACGATAGAAGTAAGTGACACTACAGGAAATTAAACCCCATTTCTGAGAAAACAAACGCTTGTAATTAAAAGCATCGATCATTTAATTATTTGACGTCAAATTTCACGAGCGATTAGTATGACGCTTTTGAACGATAAGGAAATTCTCGAACATGGATAACATCATCTATATTAACATGATCAGCGTTTTCATAGCTTCAAAATCTCCATTATTGAAAGAAAAAACATTTTAAAAACAAAAAAAAAACAGACTAAATTTTTTTAATTAAGTACCTGAGATAGCAACAATGAAGACGAGCAGAAAGAATGCAAGTGAAGTTTTTGCCATTTTTGAGCTGGATGAAGAGAATATGATGACAATCGAGAGTATTTATAGGAGAAAGAATTGGAGTTTCAAGAAAGTCTGTGTATTAAAAATCTTCAAGAATATAAATCATCAAATTTAATTAAATATCATAATTTCCACACGTGGTCTTGTATTGATTTAGGGTTTTTTTTTTTTAAATTGCAACAAAAAATGTTTCATAAAATAAAATAAAATGTTTTAAAAAAATAAAATAAAATGTTTTAAGTAAAACAAAAACTACGGATTCATTCGTGTCCCTTGTAGTAAAAGGGGAAATTAAATAGAAACGGGATCAATTTTACCTTCAACATTGTTTTAGATTTTGGTGATCATGAATTCGGTCACTGGTGTAACCACGTAGTTGTAGTTAACGTGTTAAAGGTAGAGGTGGGTGGTGGTGGTAGACGATAGTCGTGGTGGCCGATAATGGTTGCCATGGTGGTGGCATCTGCAACGATAGATGATAGTGACCATTAAAACAAATATTATATTAAGACTATATTAATTTAGTAAGCGTAAATTAAGATTTTTTTTAATTTTTATCTCAATTTTGTTCCATTTTATTTGATCTATTTTGGTGGGACGAAAAAAACCTTATTACACGAGTCCTATATCGTGTCAAACATGAAGTAGTGAATTTTTTCTATCCTAAAGAAAAATTAAATATAAATGTTTTGATATTTTTTCCTTAATAAAAATGAATGATACTTTCTCGTCTAAAAAGATTACTATTGTTTATTATGTTCTTTTTAATATAAATGGATCGACAATAAAATTAAAGGGAAATTAACCACAAGGTTAGTGTTTGATTGGTTTGAACTTGGCTTCAAAGGTCAAAAATATCAAAAGGACTCATGTTCAAAATCCAAAGAGGAATAAAAATCCCCTTGTGGCCACGGAGGTTCAAATGCGGTGACTTCGGGCTATCTGCAAAGCAGGTGGTCACCCTGGGATTAGTCGACTCGCATAACGGATTAGATATCAAGGTTAATAAAAAAAAATTAAAGGGAAATCGATTTTCTAACCAAGTTCATTTTTGTAGCCATTTTTAGAATCGAGTTCTCATTTTAGCTAGAGTTTACATAAATGTTTTATGCATTAATGTAAACCCTGTTTTCAGATTAAAAAAATCTATACATAAATGTTGATCCTTACGCAAAAAATTTACACAAATATAGATTTTTTTATGGTGTAAGTTGAATAGTATAATACCCAATTAAAGTCATTGTATCATTATTATAAATCGATTAATGTCGTAAAGTTTGAATATACTATACAATCCATAACTACTCGTAACAAAATCTGGTAAACGTAGTTTCGTTTCGTAAAATTCGTAAATTAACCTTTTGCGCTAAACAACATTTTTTAGAACTGGTTTTCAATTAATTTCTTAATTTAAACATCGATAGATAATATTTTAATTGCTTATGTATACATATAAAGAGTTGCATATGCAGGTTATCTAAGACATCGACCAAACAAACGCACGTCCTATGAGTGTTGCAATAAGTTTATATGACGTTTTAACATGTTATTTATGACATTTTTGAAATAAAGCATCATATTCTTTTATACTAGTTGTGTACTCACGCAATGCGGCGGGAGCCATGAATTTTAACGATTTTGAAGTTCCACTGGTTTTATAAGATAAGATTTAACGATGATATATGTTACACTTGATCTTTACATATTAATACAATTTGAATAAATAAGAGTTATAGTTCCAATTACAGGCTATCGATGAAAAAAATTGTATGACAGTTTAAAATCCAATATATTTAAAATCCAACATATTTAAACGACTCCACAAATGTGTTCGATTTACACCAAGAGCAAAGAACCAAGAAACTTGAGTTTTAAGATAAAYACTCAAAACCAATAAAGAAAACTACAAATTTGACATATCATAAGCCATGAAAAGACAAAAAAAGATGGGCTTTAGAATGAAGTTTCAACTGCTTACCTTTTTTCTTGTCCAGAAGCTCAGATTAAGGTTGAATTAATACATGTATGTATATATACATATTTCAAAAAAAACCCAAGAACATATTAATTCAGAACATAGTATACAGTACAATTTGGACAGCCTAACCCCAAAATATATAGTATATATATAACCAAATAACTATAAAAGTATAAATTGTAAATATTAAAAATATTTTTTCACAGTATATATAACATATAATAATATAATTAAGTAAAAAACTATTCAATATTGGACTTATTTCGAAGATATTAACGAGACGATTATAATGGTGTAACTTGTTAAAATAAAAATGTATTTTTTAAACATGTTTTAATTGATATACGATTATGTATATTAATTTGATAAAGGTTTAAAATGAAACATCTAACAGTAAAGAACGTTAAGTAAATTAATTAACTAATTATAGGGGTATAAAGTATAAATTTAAAATTATAATTTAAAAAAAAATCGGTTGTGAGAATGTGAGTGTATGTGAGGGGGTGAGTGTATGTGAGGAGAGGAAGGGGTGAAAAAGTGATATAAAAGGTATATTGGTCATTTAGTATTTTAAGACTTTAAAACTTTTGTTAAATTTGCTTTATAAGATAGTATCGATTACATAATTTGAAAAGGAAAATGTCCTATAAACATATATAATTATAGCACATTTATCAAAAGTATCTTGTAAAATAACTAATATAACACTTTATTTTGAAAGATGTCCTAAAAGTTGTTAAAACCTTATATTCCTATAAACTTATAAACTTAACTCCTCTACAATAGTATATTAGAATAATTAGACATTTTTTTTGTTTTATAAACTCAATTTTATTACAGTAAATTACTCTAGAAAAATAAATCACCATGATGGGTAATGTTAGGATAAATGCCGAACTAATGTATATGAATTAGACGGATGAAATTTCGAAAACTCAAAAGGTAGGCGAAAGGTCGTTGCCATGCATCGCTAAATTTGGCACAACAAAACCAATCTTATGTTCACGTAATATATTAGCTTTTTCATAACAACTTAAATTACTTCAACTACATGTTACAAACTTCGGTAAAAAAAAATTGATTATCGACAATCCTAACCAGTTCCACTCAGAACTCCCCCGTAGACAATAAATTGAGGAGGCGTTTGGTGATCAGCTGATTGAGCAGCAAGACAAGCAAAAGTATTTTGGCAATTAAAAGTCATCCCGACCTTCTGTTAACTGAGCTACATGCCTGCAGTCTGTAGACACTATTTGTTTTCATAACCTAGTCATCAAAGATCATTAAAGAGAAATAATATTTCAAACGAACTTTTAATGAACAATTAAATATAATTAAGAAGTTTTTAAAACATATTTCTATTTACATATATGTGTATTACATTAATTAAAAAGCACTAAGAAAGATGGTTGATGCAAATCAAATTTAGATGTTTATTAAATAAATAAAAAATACCTGATAACTATCACTTTCATCAGGTTTAAGATTGTTTTCAAAAGCTACGTAGATCATACAAAAACGTCCATTAAAAGATTAGTCGTGCCTCATGCGTACAAATGTCGACACATGTATAATTTAACGGTGTACACAAAATGATCTGATCCAACTACAGTCGACCATTGAATCGGATCTAAAATTTTAATATGTATACTGGATCGGTGGGTTATATGATAACAATTCAAATTCTAATAAAATAGAACTGATCTAATTCAATTACCACACAACTATTAATTTCGTTACTATATAGGTGTGTATGTAGATAAAACATACATACATACATATATATAGATGAGGATTAAACGGAAACAATCTTGTTTTAGAAAATGTGAGAACACTTTTAGAGCTCCAAATTATTTAAACTTTATAAAAAATAGATTAAATAAAAATAAATCATTAAGGGTACTAATTTAATTATGTATCTATCAACATATTTTTCTTATTTTAATGATTTATTTTTATCTCTTATATGTTGTTAGTATCATCAAAGGCTTCTTATATCGATATCCCCTTTGTTGATAATGATGTAATAATTTTTGATAAATCGAAGACTTAATTCTTATAATGTGATTTTGTTAATCATGTGATAAATGGAAAACTAGTGATGATCACATCCACAATCATGGATTATGTCTGTTCATTTTGTGATTTGCATTTCTTTCCATTTGTATTCTTGCATATCTTCGATATTCCTAAAATGGATAAACATTTACCAATATTTTACTACTCCTTCAATCCTTTCTAACACTAGAGAAATTAAGGGGTATTAGCTATGACATCTGATGATGACCCTTATCTGTCTCTAATTAGCGATGGATCGACCACGAACTCATTCCCTCCCAGATGTGTCGCTAATTAGCAACGGATTAGCGACGGACACGTGTATGTAGTTAATTAGCAACAAAATCCATTAACTTTTGCTTTTAAGAAAAAGGAAAGGAAATTCCAAGCGACCAATACGTTAAATTTCTTTTTTTTAAAGAAAAGAAACTTCAATTGTCGCTAATCTGTAGCTAATTAGTGACAGATTAGCTATGGACTTATTTTTTTCTTGTTTTCTCATGTGTATGTGTTATATATGTACACATGTGTATGTATTTTTATGTCGGTTCATATCATATTTATACATGTGTACGTGCATATGTTGTTATATGTAAACATGTGTATGTGTTATATGTATTCGTCGGTTCGTGTTACAAGCATAAAAGTGTACGTGTTTGTGCTATATGTATACATGTGTTATAGTATATGTATGCATGTATACATACATATGTCTAATGTGTCTGTATGACTCTATACGTATATGTGCATGTATGTGTCTCTCTATATGTATGTGTGCATTTATATATGTGTATATGATATATTATCATGGATACATGTATAATATATATGTGAATCCATATGATATATCATCATGGATACATGTATAGTATAAATGTGAAAGTATATGATAAATCATCGACCCTGGATACATGCATGTATGTATGTGTTGCATATACGTGTATATATACATATGTATATA